CTTGAGATGACATAACAAAATACAATAGGCTAGGTGGTCTGAGAACAGAAATATTTTTTCTCACAGTCCTGGCAGCTAAAAGTCCCAAATCAAGGTGCCAGCTGCTTGGGTTCTTAGTAAGGGCTCCCTTTCTGGCTTATAGACAGCTTCCTTACTGTGTATCCTCACATGATAGAGAAAGCTATTAAAAAGAGGGGGAAGGAGAGAAAATGAATCTTAATCTCTTCTTACAAGGGCACTAATGCTATGGGATCAGAACCCCACTCTTATGACATTATTTGACCTTAATTACCTTCCTAAAGACTCTTATCTCCAAATACAAGTACATTCGGCACTGGGGCTTCGACTTACATATTTTGTCCCGGGGACACAAATTTCCATCCATAACATTCGTCCTAGACATTCTTCTCATTATTCTTTTTCATTTCATGTTGTGTGTACCTCAGGACTGTTTCCTGTGTTCTGACCGGTAATTTAGTCATGTTTATTCTGGCCAGTAGTGGGTTCGTCTCTGTAATTCTTTACCTGACAACTGGCAGTTCACCCTTTCTCTCCTCTTGTTATTTCATCCCATTCTTTTGGTTTTATCATGTGCTTTTGGTTTCTTATATCAACATGAGTTTTCTTAGATCACAGGGAACTCTTTTATTAACTCTTTATTTCTGAGGAGTGCAGTATCCACAAGTAGTATTTTAAAATCATTCTTATAAGATAGCAATCTATTTGTTAACACCTGGCAAGAATAATTCAAATTATAATCTTCCTTTATTCATTAAGGAATGATCCTAAAGAGGTGCCCAATTGATTCAGTGTTAAATAATCTTAATAAGAATTTTGATTCTATTTCAAGTATCCATATATATCAAATGACTACCACAGTGATAATCAGACAATATGTTTTTGATCTTTTATTTTTTAAGTTCTAAATGAAATGAAGCTGGAGTTCAAATATTATTACTGCATGAGGCCATGTGAGGCATTCATAAACATTATCCATCATAAAATCAGCACCCATGATAGAAAAGGCGGCAGCATTTAGGTTCGGAATTATGTAGATTGGTTGATTGCTGCAGAATGGCTAAGCTGGAGTTATGATAACTTTTCCTCTGTGTTTTTGGTGTATGTCCTCTGTTTGTCTACAACTGAACATTTCCATGCATTTTTGAGGAATATGGATTTATACGATTTATAGCCACATACTGTGCCATCTACTTTCTCTAACAGTTGGTTTTCTAAATGAATTGGCAACTAGGCAAATCACAGTAGTGTTTTGTTTTATTTTCTATGGTGTTAGAAATAGTTTGCTTTTGAACAGAAAATGAAAATCTTTGTACTCAAAGTGGCTTTTGACGAATCTTAAGTGCCATTACTCCTAAAAAAGGACAAGACATGTTTTGAATAATTTACTAGTGCTAAAATGTCACATTTTTGAGACATCTATTTTATGGTTGTTCTGAATATCTGAGCGAAACACCTCTCTGGAATTCAATAACTTGTGTCTCTGCATTCCTAAGTAAACAATAAATTGTCTTCCTTTTTGAATAAAAGTTGCCATGACAACTTGGCAAGCGTGGGCTATAGAAGTCAAATACCAAGCTCTAGTATTTCAAAGATGTGATATTGTTTTTGGCAGCTCTGATTTAAGTAAAACTGAAGGTGTATTTTCACATGGCTGTATCAGTTGTGGATATTTGTAATTAGAGTAAATTATATATGTTTTTGCAGATAATTCGCTATTTAAGTACAATGATATTCTTGTTCTTTGTCACAACTTCAAGACTGTTTCTTAGCTAATCACAGAAATCCAGAGATTAAGGAAAATGCCAGGGTTATTTTATACATGCTGATTTCAAAAATGATACTGAATTCAATTCTGAAATTTTGACATTTTAAAGAAAATATCTGTTTAGTAATTACAGGGAAATTTTGCAGCATCATAGAATCTGTTATGTAATTCACCTGAAGAGTACATCTTTAACTTCGGTGTTGCTGAAATCTTTGTAATAACACTGTCAATAGGGATAAAAATTTACATTTTGATGTAAACACATTGAATATTTTCTTCAAAACCACCATTTTATACTAGTCACTGAAAAATTAAATGAATTATTATTTCACATAATTTTTTATTTAAAAAAATTCAGCGAATGGTATTAAAGGGTAGCTTTGAAGAAAATATTTAATGAATTGAACTCTAGGTGGCCTTGTTCAAAGATGCTTCAGTTAGGTTGCCCGCCTTCCCTTCCTCCCTTCCTCCCTTCCGCCCTTCCGCCCTTCTGCCCTTCCGCCCTCCCTGCCTCTTTCCCTCCCTCCCTCCTTCCCTCCCTCCCTCCCTCCCTCCCTCCCTCCCTCCCTCCCTCCCTCCCTCCCTCCCTCCCTCCCTCCCTCCCTTCCTTCCTTCCTTCCTTCCTTCCTTCCTTCCTTCCATGGAGTCTCACTGTTACCCAGGCTCACTGCAACTTCCACCTTCTGGGTTCAAGTGATTTTTCAACCTCAGCCTCCTGAGTAGCTGTAACCACAGGCATCCGCCACTATTCCTGGCTAATTTTTGTATTTTTAATAAAGACAGTTTTCACCATTTTTGCCAGGCTGGTCTCAAACTTCTGACCTCAGGTAATTCATTCACCTCGGCCTCCCAAAGTGCTGGGATACAGGCGTGAGCCACCATGTCTGGCCTGCAATTCCTTCTTTAAGCTATGTCTTTGCTTTATCTTCAGGCAGAGTTTTCTCATGGTAGTAAAATGGAGGCAGTGGTTCGAGGTCTCACACCTACACATCTCAGCAATCGGAACAAGGGAAATGATCTCTTTCTACCTAAATTCCTGATTGCCTGAGTAAAGAATTTGTTCCTTCTTAGGTTATCTGCTCATGCATGCCACCAACCACTGTGGCCAGTGTAATGACATGAGCAAAATGGCTTGTGCCCAATGTCAAGGAAGGTTCCCACCTCCAAATCTTCCTGTGGTGAAGCCAAGCCAGCACAGAGAAGTTGCATACATAGGTGACACATGCACAGTGTGTTTCACCCTCAGAAAACCTAAACTATCAGTGTCATTATGAGGTTCTGAAACAGAAGGAGGGTGGGAAACCCACTGAGGTTTCAAAGATCTTGGGGACTTCATATTCTTCCTTCTTCTTTCTTTATATCTACTTTGTTCTTCTTCCACCAATAAAGACCTTTCTTTTTTTCACTAAGGTGTATATATAATTTGTGTGCCATACCCAGAATTTAATTGCAAATATAGCTAGGGTTTTGTTTTTTTTTTTTGAGATGGAATCTCACTCTGTCTCCCAGGCTGGAGTACAGTGGCATGATCTTGGCTCACTGCAACCTCCACCCCCAGCATTCAAGTGATTCTCTTACCTCAGCCTCCCGAGAAGCTGGAATTGCAGGCACGTGCCATCACACCCACTAATTTTTGTATTTAGTAGAGACTATGTTTCACCATGTTGGCCAGGCTGGTCTCAAATCCCTGACCTTAGTGATCCACCCACCTTGGCCTCCCAAAGTGTCGGGATTACAAACTTACTGTACCATTTAACCACTATTCTCAACATTTACATTTTATGTCATAGTCTTTATTTTAGTAATGAGACAAAATCTATTTAGAATTCTGCATGGAATATTCTTTTCCTTTTTGTAATCAGTTTCTCTATATATACATACATATATACACACACACACACACATACACACACACACACACACAGAGAAAGATGTTTTCTGAAAAACTACATGGGATTTATGTTTTGACTGGATTTCAAGAAATTTTTAAAATTTAATTATCACTTAGATAATAAATGAATTAGACAAAATTCACATCCCAAACCTTATTATTTAACTCATAGACCTATTTGTTCAACATTTTTTTACATTTACCTGAATGTTTTAAAATATTTTCAGTCTAGTAACTCCTCAATTTGATAAGCACAATTACATTTCATGCTTAAAAAACATTGCAATCAGAATTAACCAAAAATCATATAATTTTTCTAGGTATTTCTCATCAAAATTGCCTCTTAAAACATTTAAATCTCTTTGGGGAATGGGAAGCATGACTAATAAAGGCTTTGTGACAGGTACTATGGTAACACCAATAATGAGAATTCAAATAAAAGTAGAATTTAATAACCCAAATTAAAGAAACAAATATATTCTCTCCATTTCCAGGACCACTAGCTAAAAGCAGACCCTGATATAACCTTATTTTTAAAGAAGTCTCAATTTGTCATTACGAATAGTGATTATATCTTAGGGTTTTATTAGTAAGTTGGAAAGAGACATTTTTTTCAAAAAGGACATTTTTGTTCTGGTGAGAAATTAGATCTTTGTACACAGTTTATGTTTCCTTCCAAGTCTTGTATATTTAACAATTTATTCTAAAGAAGACTACTGATTTTACACACACACGTAAAATACAAAACTCAGAAGGAAATATGTTTTGAAATTGTTAAATATATAAAACATTTAATCACTGTTCTCAACATTTACATTTTGGATTGTAGTCTTTCTTTTAGTCATAAGGCAAAATCTGTTCAGAATACTGCTGGGAATATTCTTTTCCCTTTTGTGATCAATTACACACACACACACACACACACACACACACATATATATATATCTGGATTGATGACTTGGGAAAAAATACATGGGATTCAGGATTCATGATTTGACTGGATTTCAAGAATCATCTTATTTTATTTAATTAGCACTTAGATAATAAATGAATTAGACAAAATTCACATTCCAAACATTATTATTCAAATTATAGACCTATTCCTTTAACATTTTTTCTTTTTTTCTTACAGTTTGTGTATGTGTGTGTCTGTGTATGTGCACATTTATTTATTTAATCTGAATTCACTTCTCTTAGAGGTTAGTTAAATCACTTGGCTCTGTTAAAGACTATTAATATTGTTAAATTCAATAGGATATTTTTAAAAAGAACTGTAGGGAAAACATCTCTGTTCTTGATATACATTATTATCTGTTATTGCAGGAGGATACAGACCACAATTACTATATATCTCGGATATATGGTCCATCTGATTCTGCCAGCCGGGATTTGTGGGTGAATATAGACCAAATGGAAAAAGATAAAGTGAAGATTCATGGAATATTGTCCAATACTCATCGGCAAGCTGCAGTAAGTTTTTTGACATTCAGGGTTTTTTTTTTCCTACTGCGAAAAAATGGTTGCTTTAATTGGCATATAGCCATTTCTTATATAAGTTTGATAATTAAATATTAGAATAGTCTTATCTGTGGTAATCACTTTTCCAATGTATTCATTTCTACAATTGTAATTTAGATTTAATTGCATACAAGGTATTAAAGAAAATGAAATAGAAATGTTTTGATAAACTACCATTAATTGAATCATTTTCTTAGTATATCTGATGAATGTGTATTGGATTCAAAGTTGAGCTTTATCTTGGATTATTTTTAGTGTTCTTATAATCCATGAGTATATGGAACATTTTTAAAAATTTCTTGAATTTGGTATCTTCCCATTTACATGGGTTTATTGCTCTTGGTCTTGGATTTAACCAAAGATTTAACTGAAGTCATTTATGACAGATAACATATATAGACCAAATTATGGTCTTAAATAAAGAAGTTTAATATAAAGAAAAAGAATAAAATTTAGAAAGGATCAGACTTATATTGTAAGCCTGGGCTGATTATTTCCTGTGTTTCCTGAAATAAATAATTTAACTATTCTGAGGTGCTTTCTGCATGTGTAAACTGGAGATGAGAAGGAATATTAATACCAGCCTCTCTTGCCTTACATGGTCATGAATAGCCTATTCAAGCTCCAGCCTGAATGCTCAAATGCATTAGCTTTTTCAATCTTCACAACAGTCCTATGATTTAAATATTATAAACTTACACATTGCAGATAAGAGAACTGAGGAGTCCTGGAAAATTCAGATAACCTACCCCAGGGTCTCCACCAGAAAATGGTAAACCGAGAAGTCAGGCTAGGTAGCCAAGCTGATGCGCAAAGTGTGTGTGTAACATTTATCACACTTGGTTCTCAGAACGTTCTTTGATCATCGTTTTATGATAAATGCCAGATTTAACGTTTTAAAGGGTACTTGGTTTTGCTGGCCTGGGTAACAGTGGTGATGCTACCCCTGGGTAACATGGTGATCAATGAAGCCATGAGTTGCTCAGTTTAGTATGACCTGAAGTGAAAAGAAAACAATTTTAACCTTTTGGGTGCTTTTGTCATTATTGATATAAAGATAGGACTAATACAGTCAATGGCTGGAGTTATTTAGAGAGGCATTGATTTGATAAATGTTAAATATCAAAATTTTTGGCAGTGGCCTTCCTTGTTTATATGAAGGCGTTTCTGTTATCAGATCGAATTCTAAAAGCTAAATGGAAATTAAGTATAGTATACCATGATGATTCATTTAATTTTCAGTGTAGAGCACATGCTTCCTGAGTCTGAGAAGCACACGAAGTAGCTACCTTTCCTTGCTAAATTCCATCATCCACCCCCACCCACTTTTTTCTATATTCAGACAACCCAGGTAGGCAAGAAGACAGATTTAGAAAGAATTCACTGTGGAATTTCAAACAGATTTTCAAAAGAAGGGAAAATAATAAAGATTAGATTTGAACAATGTCTATCTGGGATCTATTGCATTTGACAACCTTCCTACTATAGCATAGTGCTTAATAGTATAAAATATACTTTGTGGAATTTTGGATGTTGGTGTATGCACACGGGAATTCTGTGATGTGGCTTAGTCCTAGTGTCAGCCTCTATGGGTAATATATACAGGGAGAGGAAGAAGTTCCTCCAAATATTAGCTGATTTCTTCTCCTATACAAATATGGCTACCACCTCTCTCCTCTTTGCCCTCCCCAAGGTAAGACACTTTGTCTCATGCCTCTCCTTAAAGAAGCCTGTTCTCTTTGCAATAGGGTTTACTTGGTTGCCTTGTGATGATTCTCTGGTTGTCTCATGAAAAATGAAAAATGATAATATTGTAAATGGTCCAATTTTCTTATTGTTAGTGTGGCAGTGTCTTTGTTGCTTTTAACACTTGAGGTAGCCTCAAACATAAATGAAAGGACTTGAACTTCTGGTTGTAACTTAACTGGTGCTCTTTATGTTAATTGCTAAATATATACAATTTTTAGAGGCTTTTATTTTAACTTCTCTGCCATTGTCATAACTTGGGTTCTTGGTTATCCATGAGTATGTAAGCCATTAACAAACATTTCTTAAGAGAAAATGGTGGAAAAAGTTATCAGCGAAATTCAACGCTCTTCATGTTAAAAATGCTCAAGAAACTAGGCATGGGAGGAACATACCTCAAAGTAATAAGAGCCATCTATGACAGACCCACAGCTAACATTATACTGAATGGGCAAAAGCTGAAGCATTTCCTTTGAAAACTGGCACAACACAAGGATGCCCTCTCTCATCATTCCTATTCAACATAGTATTGGAAGTCCTAGCCAGAGCAATCAAGCAAGACAAAGAAATAGAGCATCCAAATAGGAAGAGAGGAAGTCAAACTATTCCTGTTTCCAGACAACATGATTCTGTATTTAGAGACTCCATAGTCTAGGCCCAAAAGCTCCTTTAGCTGATAAGCTACTTCAGCAAGTTTTAGGTTACAAAATCAATGTTCAGAAATCCCAGGCATTCCTATACACCAACAACAGCCATGCCAAGAGTCAAATCAGAAAGGCAATCTCATTTATGTCACTACAAAAACAGTAAAACACCTGGGAATACAGCTAACCAGGGAAGTGAAAAATCTCTGCAATGAGAATTACAAAACACTGCTCAAAGAAATCAGAGAAGACACAATCAAATGGAAAAAATCATGCTCACAAATAGGAAGAATCGATATCATTAAAAAGGCCATACTGCCCAAAGCAATTTACACATTCAGTGCTCTTTCTATCATACTACCAATGACATTCTCCACAGAACTAGAAAAATTATTTAAAATTTTTATGGAACCAAAAAAGAGCCCAAATACCCAAGACAATTCTAAGCAAAAAGAACAAAGCTGGAAGTACCATGTTGCCCAACTTCAAATTATACTGCAGGGCTGCAGTAACCAAAACAGCATGTTACTGGTACAAAAACAGGCACGGAGACAAATGGAACAGAATAGAGAACCCGGAAATAAGGCCACACACTTATGACCATCTGACCTTCAACAAACCTAACAAAAACAAGCAATGGAGAAAGACTTCCTATTCAATAAATGGTGCTGGGATAACTGGCTAGCCATATACAGCAGATTGAAGCTAGATCCTTCCTTACACCAGATAAAAAGTTCAACTCAAGATGGATTAAAGGCTTAGATGTAAAATTCAAAACTATAAAAACTCTGGAAGACAACCTAGGCAATACCATTCTGAACATAGTAACAGGCAAATATTTTAAGATTTTATGACAAAGACACCAAATGCAATCACAACAAAAGCAAAAATTAACAAATGGAATCTAATTAAACTAAAGAGCTTCTGCACAGCAAAAGAAACTATGAACAGAGTAAAGAGACAACCTAAAGAATGGGAGAAAATATTTGCAAGCTATGCATCTGACAAATGTCTAATATCTAGCATCTATAAGGAACTTAAACAAATTTACAAGAAAAAAGAAAACCATTAAAATTGGGCAAAGACATGAACAGACACTTTTCAAAAGAAGACATAAATGCAGCCAACAAGCATATGAGAAAATGCTCGATATCACTGATCATTAGAGAAATGCGAAACGAATCCACAGTAATATACCATGTCACACCAATTAGAATCCTTGTTATTTAAAAGTCAAAAACGACAGATGCTGGTGAAGTTGCAGATTAAAGGGAACACTTACACACTGTTGGTGGAGGTGTAAATTAGTTCAGCCATTGTGGAAAGAAAAATGGCGGTTTCTTAAAGACCTAAAGACAGAAATGCCATTCAACCCAGCAATCCTATTACTGGTATATGCCCATAGGAATATAAATTATTCTACCATAAAGACACACATGTGAATGTTTATTGCAGTACTATTCATAAAAGCAAAGACATGGAATCAACCTAAATGCCCATCAATGACAGGTTAGATAAAGAAGTGTGGTACATATACATGAGGGAATACTATGCAGCCATAAAAAAGAATAAGATCATGTCTTTTGTGGGAACATGAATGGAACTGGAGGTCATTATCTTCAGCAAACTAACCCAGAAACAGGAACCGAATTCTGCATGTTCTCACTTTTAAGTGGAGCTAAATGATGAGAAATTATGAACACAAAGTAGGGAAAAACAGGTATTGGAGTCTACTTAAGGAGGAAGATGGAAGGAGGGAGAGGAGCAGAAAAGGTAACTTTTGGGTAATAGGCTTAATACTTGGGTGATGAAAAAAATCCATACAACAAATTCCCATAAAATGAGTTCACCTGTGTAACAAACTTTCACACATATTGCTGACCCCAAAACAAAGGTTTAAAAGATTATATATGTGCTATTATGGTTATACTGTAGCTCAGGAACCAATAGACACTTAGGGTTGGATTCATTGTTAATGACAATGGAGGTTAAACCCTGTTTTAAATAGGGTTTTCCCTTAATTTTGAGTATTTTTTGCCTATGTCTTGTCAGATTTGATTCCATCATTGTGGTTTTTACTTTCTGATGTGTTTCATGCAAGGCTGACTCAGTACAGAGCTTTGCTATCCATGGTCTTGTGCTCTCCTATGCTTTCATTTATCAGTATAAAAAACAAATCTCTTATTTCGTAGGTCTAGGATGAGCCAGAAAATTTGCATTTCTGACAAATTCCAAGGTCATTCTGATGCTGCTAATCCAGGGGACCATTCTTGGACTCCATAGCAGGGGTTGGCAACCTGTTTCTCTAAAGGGCCAGGTGATATTTTAGTTGTTGCATGCCTTATGTTCTCTGTCACAACTACTCAACTCTATTGTTACAGCTCAATAGCCATAGACAATATGTAAATGAACAGTCATGGTTCTGTTCCAATAAAACTTTATTTATGGAAGTAAAGAAAATATTGGTCCTGTATCTACTTTGTTATCACAGACACACAAAAAACACACTTACACACAAAAACACACACACACACACACTTCCATTTATAACAATAAGATTGG